CCTCCAACCACCATCTAATCTCAACATAGCGCACGTAATGTCGAGTCACCTAGACTAGTGGTCACATTGCAACTTGGTTGATAGGATTCGATCTGTACTAGGAAGGACTTGACACACATGACACTGATCACCACCCAGTGATCAATCAATTGTGATGTTTTTAAATTGTCTGACGCTTTGTGACTAAATGTAAGCCACTTCTTCACAGAATAAATAGACAAACTAAATTAACTTGGGTTAATTTATTTGAAATTACTATGTAAAACCTTGTTAATGACACCTATTAAAACATTTTTGTATTTGTTTCTGAAACCAACACATTTAAATTAGTTTACTGGTACTGGGAGGTGGGGAACCGTTAAAATCTAAAGTCTGTTGAATGTTTGTTTTTTTAAGAGAGATCATAATAACATGCCAACAACTTATATGCGACCAAGGTGTTCATGCTTCATAGCGAACATGATGATCTCATAGTATTGAAAGGGAAAGCAATTTTGCTCAAGTATTTAGAAGCATTTGAAATCCATAAATTAAATGAATCTCTTGAAATTCTTTGAAATATTTTCAATAGTGGCTGGATTAGGTGTAGTTTGAAAGTAAGCTGGATGTCACTATATCAAGACCTGAAATCTATCCCTTAAGTCATTGACTACTGGTTCGGATCATATAGGAAAATATGGAATTCTTAGTTTAAGCCATTGTGATTTTGTAGTATACAGTAGAACCTAGAAGCAAATATATTATGTGTATAAAAATGAATCATGATGAAGTCTGGCATGGTATGAGCTGTTAATCCAGTTTGTTAAACATTTCTTAAATATCACTTAGAGAGATAAACACACAGAAATCCTACAGGATGAAAATAATTACACTAATAATTTAAGTGAAATGAAAGATAGGGGAAAATATAGGTAAGATAATGTGGTATAAAGCACAAGGTTAAATATTACTCAATATTGTCGGTAGACGGTAGTGTATAGTTGATATGTCGATGTTAAAGCAACGGATTCTAAGACAATATCACTTAGTCTCTCATCATCCATTTCATTTGCTTTACTTACACCGTTAGCAGATGGAGAATAAATATTCTTTCTAATTAAAGTATCCTAAGAAAGATAGCTACTAAATGATGGTAAGTCCCATATTTGTAATCAGAGATCTAACATCTAATGCTCCTTGATTTTCAATGGTTCGCCAGATGATTTCAGTTTGTCATGAGAAACTACCTTCAAAATATGTATGGCAGTAGTAATCTCTTTAATGTTTCATTTAAATACTTATGTGAAATATTTATTATATGTAGACCGCATTAGTATGCGTTGTTCTTTTAATGATTACATTCATACTCCATTTACCATTCAGTCACTTGTAGAACAGATGAATTGATTCGTTATCCAGGCATAAAATGTTTCAGTCTTGTTCCTTTTTCTCTGTAGCTATCGATTACCTGGGTAGATGTTTATCTAACCATCAAATCACGTGACATAAGCTTCGTCCAATCAATTTGAACAATTCGGATTGTAGAACTGATTGTACCTATCGTGACTATAAGATGTGATTACATGCACTTTCCTCAGCGCATTTAGTGCTTGGTGTCTCGATTGTAATTCTAGTTTATTTCACATGATAATAAGTTTCAGTTTATTTATAAAAGCGCGTGAGTAAATAGTTTGGCAAGAAGATATGATTAGTTAAAAGGGATCGGAAAATTGTCTACAGTATTATGACAATTGTAAAATTAATAATATAAAGAGTCAAATAACCAGCAAAAACTGACCGAGTTAATTGTTATAATATCGAAGTGATAGTCATTTACTTGTGTTTATACATGATGATTGGTCTTTTTTAGTCTGTAAAAGAGAACGGAACCATATATATTTTAGTTCCTTAAAAAAAAGTTTTTTTAAATTTCAACAAAGTAGATTATATTGGTACTTATTGTATTCTTTTCCCACAACCACAATATTTCTGATTACATTGGAATCCCATGATTTGCCATTTATTAAGTCATTTACCAATTAAGGATTGTATATATGAAGGAAAACGTTTCTGAATCTTCTATATTTAACACTTTTGGCTTGTTGAAGTGCTGAAAATAATCTTGATAAATAGATGATGTTCAATAACAACACAATGTAATTGCCTAGTAACTGCTCATAAGATCTTAACATTGTTTGATTTAGCCGTATATTTGTTATGATTCACAACGTCCAACTCATCCACACATTTCCAGTTACAGATACGAATGATAAGAGTGAAAAGTGACTAGGAAACTTTTATTGACAAACTAAATAATTAGAAACAAAAATAATTACTGTGTATTTACATTTGTCTTTCCAACCTATGAATTTTCAACATTACATTCTCTTTAGCCTATCGACAATGGTAACTGAATGAAGTGTTTTCTTTCAGATTAATTTTTATTTATATACTTTCGTGTGGGTTTATTTCACACTTCTCCCCCCCCCCTTCCTCACGTGTATGATTTTTTGTTTTTTGAAAACATAAACAAAGTACTTAATAGGCTCATTTATCAATGAAGAGAATGTTAAGTATTTACGTCCAATGTTCAGTTGTTATCTCATATCTGTTTACATCCGCATGATGTATGTATATAAATCCTCTCTACTAAGCCCAGTTGAATTTGTTTACCGGTTATTTTGTTTTTTTTTCTTCAAAAGAACGTCAATTATTTGTTCCATTATCATAGTTTTGTTTATTTTTATATTTTTTAACCATGACCTATTTATCCAATTTCTCCCCTACGTATAAATTGATCCGAGTTTGTTTTTATAGTCTCGAAAAATTAGGACAAAATGAATCCTATTTAAACTTTTCAATTGCGTTAGCATAGTTCCAGTGTGACAGACATCATTAACACTATTGACATTTTTGGTTGAAATTGTATTACTGTTATAAGTGGATAACGCGATGGCGTTTGAAGCGGACGGTACTGGGTTCGAGTCCCGGAGTGAACATCAACCCTGAGATGCAGGTACATCCAGCTGACGAGTCCCAAATAGGACGAAACGCGCGTCAAACTGGATTCCACTGCTAGCCACTATCCATCTTTGCTTATAATGCTTGTAAATTAAGGCAATATCGAGGCATACGCACAGTATGCACATATGCCAATAAGAGACTGAACAATTTCAGTCCTAAACATCAATGGGAAGATTCAAATAAATAAAAAACAATATCAAGTGAATGTTATAATAATGTTTTAGTTAATTTAATGAAATTTATCAGAGTAACTCAATTGATCCAACGGTTAATACATTAATAACATTCAACTGAATAGATAGATATTCGTAATATATATATAAGTCGGTTAGTTTACTGACTAAATATGTACATATATGTATTGGTGAATTAAAGATATTACTTATATTTGGAAAGTATTCAATCAAGTTAGTATGAGTTACTTGTTGGTTAATAAACAATTAGTCAAAAATACTACTTTAAGGTCACAAAGTAATCAATCATGTTTCGATTAACGACTATTTTACCAGTTAATTAAGGTCACAAAACCAACATTCATTGGAATTGGATTCTGTATTATAAATACAAACGTACATCAAAAGGATAATTTATAACCCTTAGAATATGAGTTTCATGGTATAGTTTGTAACTATTGGATGATAAGTTTCATACGGATTATTTTGAGGATATCACTCATATTTTTGAATTTCTATCCTTTTATGTTAAAACATGATTATAGTCGATAAATACTATCCATTGACATGTTCCAATGAGATAACTTCAAATTCCTTTTTAATATAGAGGTTAGTAAGAAAATCTTGTACTGTACCATAAACAGTAATTCACGATTTATAAACACTGACATACATTGAGAAGTATATCTTACAGCTTACACTAGCTTACAATAGTTCTTTTCTCTAAAGTTGACTAACCTAGCTACAGTTGTTACATGAATTTATCTAATTGTCCATCCTCTAAAAACAAGAAGACGAGGTATTGTGTGATTTTGGATAGATGATACAAGTACACTTGTCGTTGTAATAAATTTGATATCATTATCACAAACAATAAGTAAAAACATGATTTTATGAGTCAGTCTTTATTCAAACTAGCGTAAATCAGGAAATATATGATAGGTAAGTAGGAATTTCAATTTAGTGAATCGTTAACATTCACATTTGATTTCAACAAATTTTACGTACAAGATCTAAACGAGCTATAGAATATTAATTGAAGGAAAAGAGGAACTGAACCATCGAACTGTTGACAGGTTTCATGCAAAGAGATAACAGTTATTGAGCTGTCTCTATCTGGATGTTTTATTCACTTTGAATAATTCATTTTATACCAAAGTTTATGTCGCAGATTAATCTTAATTAGGTAACTATCGAGAATCAGGGAGTTTTGAACACTTGTTTCTTCCTAATCTGTGGGACTCTTCAGAAGTTCGCACCCACAATCCCTTCGGAATTTGAAGCCAGGACTATCAGTATTATAGTAAGGATTTAACCTGTAGCCCACTGTGTCAGTATCCCGTGGTTTACGTTCATTTTTATGTATTTCAGGATATCTATAAATGTAAGTAAAGGTTGACCAAAAAGAAGTTGAATTAATCTTTTGCTGATCAAAAACTTTGAAAAATTACTATTCAAATCTAAAAACCAACACATTGATCATTTTTCCCAACCCGATCGATCAGTCATGTAAAATATCACTAATAAAAGTATATTTTTCAGAAGCCTCCACAAATATTCAATTTCACTGTTAATCACATCAATAATCTTTGGCGTTTTTTTTTTATATAGATCAGTTAGCCTTAAATTTCAATCTGTCTACCTTTTGACTTTATTCATTGTTCATAAGTCGTATGTTTACGGTCAGGCCTAGACAGTGATGTTTAATATGTGAACATCTCCAATGTTCCTTTTTATTAGATTTAACAATATACGTGACTTTTCCATTTTATTTGTTTAATATTTTTGAATTGTATGGTTTCTGTTCAATTACTGTTAATTTAGAGATAATGAAAAGGCTAATTTATATTGGAAACGATATTTATCTATGGACAATAGCGAAATCGTAGGTAAGTTGTGAATTAGTACTTTTTTTTAATTCGGTACGTTTAAAAATGAAGAACAATATTTTTCAAGTGTAACTGATTTATATGCTCAATTTTAAACTAGTTTATTATGAGGCTTAGTGATACCCGAATAAAGTTTTCAACATAATGTTATTGAACCAGATGAAAGATTCTGCGATCGCCCAAATTCGAGATCAATAGGCTACATCCCGTAAGGATCGGTTGTGCACGGAATTCGTCACTATACTTCAAATTCCTTCATTATGAGAAGGCGTTTACGAGCGCGGATAGGAGAACCTCATGGAACCTCCTTTGACATTATGGAGTGAGTAACTAAGAATGTCGTCAGCATAATATGGAATTCATACGACAGATTACACTGCAAAGCTGTGCATGGAAGACAGATATATGTCAAGTAAACATCGGAGTCAGACAAAAATGCTTACCCTCCCCCTTTCTTTTTCTTCTAGTGGTTGAATGAATTATTAAGACTAAATATCTGAGAGAAAGCACGGAATATCATGGACAGGTTGGATGCAACTAGAAAATTTAGAATTCCCAGATGACTTAGCTTTTCTATCCCATACACATCAACAAATGCAGGTCAAGACAACCAGTGTAACAACAGCCTCTGTATTAGTAGGTCTCAACATGTACGAGAGAAAATCAACATTATCAAATACAACATTGAGAATACCAACCCAATCACACTTGATGGAGAATTTCAGGTACCTGGGAATCGTCGTCGATGAACAAGGAGGATCCGATGCAGACTTAAAGGCAAGGATTGGCAAATCAAGGGCAGAATCCCTATAATTGAAGAACATATGGAATTCAAAACAACTTTCGACCAATATCAAAGTCATAATTTCCAATACGAACATCAAGACAGTTCTACTGTATTGAGCTGAAACTTGGTGAACTATTACAACCATCATCAAGATAGTGCAAGTATTCATAGACAAATGTCTACGCAAGATACTGAATGTCTGTTGGTCGGACACCATCAGCAATAGCCTACTGTAGGAAAAAACAAACCAGCTTGCAACTGAATAGGAAATTAAGAAATGACACTGGAAGTGAATAGAACATACATTGAGGAAATCGCCAAACTGCATCGCGAGGCATGCCCTTACTTAGAATCCTGACGGGAAACGGAAAAGAAGACCAAAGAACACACTGCACCGAGAATTGGAAGTAGACGTGAAAAGAACGAATAACAACTGAAAACAACTTCAAAGCAGATTTCAGGGCAGAATTGGTTGGAGAATCCTGTTGGTCAGACAACTTTCCTCCACGTGGGATAAAGGGGGTAAGAAAGTTGGCGACACTATTTAGTTGTCCGAACCGCAGTAGTTAGATGAATTAGGGTTAGAACATATGACTGATAGTAATGAAGATAATAATAATAATGAAATTCTGGATTGCTTTATACACTAGACTGCCGCGCTGCATATAAATTAGATATATTTCACTGAGCAATTTGAAACAAGCGTTTAAATATTACCATTTGAAAATGTCACGTTATTTTTGCTGACACCAATTGCTATATCGTCGTAAGTAGTGCTAATCTGAGAATTATTGCTCTGGATGATATGGTATTATGTCATAGTGCTGATTCTACTAAATGTAAATATCTTTAATGTAATTCTTTCCACTGATTCTGTACACGGTAGAAAATTACACTACGAGTAATGACAAGTTTTAAGGTGTTACTCAAATTTATAAAAAAATACTGAACTAATCATTGTTATTTGATTGTGATACTTTTGTGAACCGAATGATGTTGAATAGTTGAAACACTACGATACGATTAACTGATTTGAAGTAATCCTGTAAGATCCCTGGATATTCCATTTGACTATGTACTGGGGCTCGTGTTTTCGATGCAAACTACTTAGAAGTTTGAAAACTAAGACAGAGGAACCGTACAGTATTTGCTTCATAACTTTCAATGATTTACAAGTTAGTGCCATTTCGTAATAAAAATATGATCTACAGAATTGGTATTTTATTATATCTCAGTGTGACTCGGAAGAATGCTTAAGTTGTTGCTGAATATTGCATTAACGTTTCTCGTTAATTTGACACGTTTAAAACAAAAAAATGAAACAAAGTTTTTGAAATGGATTTTATTGCTAACATTCCTAATTTAGGCTCAGTTATTAATGGATGCTACAACAACAACAACAACAACAACAACAACAACAACTACTACTACTACTACTACTACTACTACTACTACTAATAATAATAATAATAATAATAATAATAATAATAATCTAGTTCTTTTGCAGGTTTATTTACTCGTCTTTAAGTCATATTGCTTGATGTTTAAGGCATACCATAATTCAAATATCTAAAGTGAATTCTTTGCAAAATTTCGGCTTACCATATAAAATTCGTTTATATAAAACCACTGTGTTAGTTACTTATTTTTTCGAAATTCACGTTATAAACGTCAAAAAAGTCTCATATATTCTCTTTCGAAGTTCGTGTTCGATTTATGTTATAACTTGTGGCTTGTGCGCCCTGCTAATGTATAACGTAACGATACCGCCAATTAGAGAACAGTGAATTATCGATCGGATCAATGACACATAAAACCCGTACGAGCAGTCTAGAGTCCTGACTGGTTCTGCTTTCCGCCCAGCCTAGCCAGTTAGGTCCAGAACACAAATCTTAGCCTCTGCAATATCCATCCTTTATTTCAAACATACTGGGTTTATTATACCAACCAAACAGACCACATCGTACCATAAAATAGGAAACAACATTTATGTAAGTTTTGGCCAAATGTGGCTGTGAATGAGGGAGGTAGTAATTAATGGACAGGGCATAATTCAAGAATGGTAAATGGTATAATAATAGTTCATATGTCAAAATAAGGCTCATAATAAGAGGGACACGGATATGAATAGTTTAGTTATTTAACAATTATACGTTAAAAGTACATGCATAGTACTGGTTCATAAATGGATCCCAAATCACCATTCATTATACTTATCGGGGTATAACAATCTAATAGTTGCTTCTTGGAAATTATTATTTTTTTTTATTAATAAGGAAATCAATGAAATTTGTTGATTTTCATAGGATTTTCTCTTGATTATTTTTTTTTTCTCTTTAATAAAAATAAATAGATCTATTTGTTGGACAATTAATGAGTACTCTTGAATGTGGTGAATGTTCATTCAAATCAACTACATTTGATCCATTTTGGGATTTAAGTTTACCAATACCAAAAGTGAGTTGTTGATTGTTTTGTACGAAACTTTAGAAGAAAATAAAATATATTTTTGGGATGTTATTCTTATTTTTAAAATACAAAAAAAGACGTATTTTTAATTTTGAAACAATGCAATTTCATGACTCCCATATAGAATCGAACCCCATAACACGTATAGGTCTCACTTGGCATCTATTTATAGATTGAGACAAAATCTACTAAAGTATACAAACATTTTACTGTGTTTAGTGTCATAATTTTCTAATGTTCAATAGATGCAACCTTATGAAATAAGAGGATAAGATTGTAGCTTAGGTACTTACTGGTTAGCGTTTTTTAGCGAGGTTTTTTTCTGTGAGATAGGGTTGCTCACTCTTCTTCTTTATCCAGACTTGGGACTGGCAGTAAACCTAGAGGAGCTGCAGGTGGGGTTTTTGGCTAAGGTGGATGTATTGTATAGTTCTCAATTCTCTGAACTGTTTGGTTAACTTAGTCTTGCTGTTAGAGTCAACATCATCACTGTCATCTCCGATGACAAATAGAATTAAATATTTTTTAAAGTGCTATTAGTTGTCTGCGATTGTTGAACTGAGTCATGCTAGTAGGTGCTAGCCACCTTGTTACGGTCAGGACATCACCAATGATCGGTGTCGGGTGATATGGCACAAAATCTGTTGCCCTAGTCCTGGTTCATTCATTATTTGTTTCTCCTAGAATTTAAATTTTAAAATAGTTCTGAACACTTTATTCCGTGAGTTTATTCTTCATTCTCGAATCGTATTGTTTGTACTTAGTGATTTCGCTATTACTGATAGTAATTTGGTATTTGTTTTGATAACTTCATTCGAATGTGTTGATATGCTGTGGCAACTTGAATTGGTGAACATATATGTGAGATTTTATTTTGTCATTAACTGATTAGAAATGTTCTAATTATGTGTCATATAGCACTTGTAACACGTTATTTGACCTTGGATTTTACCTATATAATCATGTCAGTTAAAAGTCTAAATGGAACAAAGATGCCTGTTACTATTCATCTGGGATTTTAGTACTCTGATGAAAGGTTTGGAAATGTGGTAATTTGTGTGTTTCCAACTGTCGTAGATTCAAGTGATAGAATGCAACTTCATTAGTAACAACATGTGAATGTTTGGATAATCTTTTCGAATGAATTGTTCTGTTGTTCAATTGATCATCATATATCACTTGACCATTTCTCCATTATTATTTAATGCTGTTTGAAATGTGTATGAAGAAATATATTTTTTAAATAGTAATTTTTCTTAGTCATATACTAAGTATACAGTATTTTGATATTCCTATGGCTCAACTGATTGGATTCGGAACCGTGCTTATTTATGATATTACTTGCTTACTTACGCCTGTTACCTCTCGTAGAGGAGCATAGACCGCCCACCAGCACTCTCCATCTAATTCTATTCTGGCCAGTCCTCTCCATTTCTTTCCAGTTGCTATTCATTCTTTTCATGTCTCCTTCCGATTCCCAACGTAGTGTGTTCTTCGGCCTTCCTCTTTCCCGTTTCCCTTCAGGATTCCAAGTTAGGACTTGCTTCGTTATTCAGTTTTATGATTTACATAATGTATGTCCTATCCACTTCCATCGACTTTTCATAATTTCCTCTTCATCTGGAAGTTGGTTAGTCCTCTCTGACAGTAGGCTGTTGCTGATGGTATCCAACCAACGGATATTGAATATCCTGCGTACACAATTTACGATGTTCAGTGCAATCTATTCTTTTTTTTATCATTTCACTTTACATGTTATTATCATGAAATCAGTAATCACATACTGACCATTATGACTCAGACTACTGATTACTAGTTACTAGAAATGTTACTCAATTTCGATCTGAATTTACTTAGTTCTGTTACAATTTAACTCTGTTACGAAAAGAAAAAGGAATTTGTTAGATAAATGGATCAACAAGCATATCATGTGCTCCATTTATATACGTGCTAATTATCTATTTGATGGTAACGTGTTGTTTACACGTTTATGTATATCGTAATTATCACATTAAACCATACCCATACATATATAATTGTTTCAAAAAAGATTTTTATTAATGCCCAATCAAAAGTGCAAATTTATTTATACCTTTTTTGTAATCTTGTTTATGTATACCTCATACTTTTTAAAAATTCCAATGTACGTTTTGATGCCAATTGAACAAATTGATTTGTTAAACAGTTATAATGTTTTTGTAAAACTTCTTTTGTAAAAAGCAAAACTTTGAACAGAATTGATCAAATAATAAACAAAGATAAATAGTAGATTGTAGTGAAATCTAGTAAGCGCTGTTCGTGAGATGGTGGAGAAGATTTTTAGCTCATATGGAGATACAACCAAAACAAAGAAGTAAACAATGATAAATTTAAGGTCAATAAGAACCAATCAACATCGAGGTGTACAGAACAAGCTGTGAAATACATATGAAGAAATTCGAACGCTTCACTTCTATCTGAAGTTTGTGTTGATGATGTCATTCAGAAGAACGATGAAAGCTCCACGACAAAACAATCCAGCTCAGAGAACGAAACTCCATTAAAAAGCTATGTTCGTTTTATCTGGGACTCGTTAGCGGGGTGTTCCTGCATTTCAGAGGCGATGCTCACTCTATGACTCGAACCCAGATCGTATCAATAATATGAGCATAGTATTCGACAAATAGTTCAGTTCTCATTTTTTTGAATATTGATAATTAAGTAATCATGTTACACTCTTTATAGAGATAGGAGGGGAGATTATGGAGGTTGTTCATTTTAAAGTAAGTTTTCATCACTAACTGACCTACGCTGCATAGCTGGTGAGAAATGACACAGAGCATTGAATTATTGTTACATTCTACTCCGTAACTTTTCACTGTTGTGAACCAGTGACTCCAAACACATATACACGAATAAATTCATCATCTTTGGGTTTCGTTTTGGTCACAGCACGTTCTAGGTCAGAATCCACATTTTCAATTTCAATCAGTTTGTTATATTACCGGGAAAAATCGGATCACGATTTTCTTTAATCAATCAATAGTAAAAACATTGCAATATTGATTTATTCCGTTTCATTGAGTGAATGACAACGTGACTGATGTAATCAATCAGTGATATTTCAGCGTTCTGATCAATTTATTCATATTGCTTTCAAGTTGAACAACTGATAGACAGTATGAATTTCATCATTTATTTTTAAAGAGAAAAGACATTACAGAATGAAATTAAAAGAGAGAATCTAGTTTGTTCTAACTCAGACTTGAATTGTTAGCAATTGACGGGCCTAATATTAGCATGACTACCAGTTACATCCATAATACACATTGTAGAACCTCACATATATATATCCATCAATTCAAGTTGCCACAGCATATCAACACACTCGAATGAAGTTATCAAAACCAATACCAAATTACTATCAGTGATAGCGAAATCACTAAGTATAAAATATACGATTCGAGAACGAAGAATAAACTCACGGAATAAAGTGTGCAGAACTATTTTAAAATTTAAATTCTAGGAGAAACAAATAATGAATGAACCAGGACTAATGCAACAGATTTTGAGTCAATTCATTCAACTTCTACAATCATTAGTTATGATCATTGTGAGGACCTCAACCATGTAGTCTGTACTTATCTACACGACTCCTTTCAACAATCAAGGATTACATGAACTGATTACATCATTTTCTGGTTCGGCTATCCTTACCATCTTTTTAAGTTACTCTTACACCAGCAAACATCATGGATGGAGGTTGGTAGAGTTTTATGGAGACCATTCGAAGTTCAATGAACCCAAGGAATAAGATCCATCGTTTAAGAGACCATTGAGAATCAAGAAGTATGGAACATCGATTTCTATTTAGCGTGGAATTCTTGAATAGTGTTTGTCATTTCCTATAGCCTGTAAATTATCATGTGACGAAATCGCGAATCAAAACGCCAACTTATACGGCCTTGACCCTATGCCAAACCAATGACGCGTTAACAAGTACGAGTAGTCTAGAGTAGTCGACTTCGAGTCCTTTTTGGTTCTTCTTGCCTTGCCCTGGACGCTGAGTCAAGAACACAATCTCAACTTCAACTCTATGAACCATGTATTTCAGTCATACGCAGTTTATATACAAGCAAATCATACTTCATCACACTATAAAATAGAAAATAACAATTATACAAAACCAAACCAAAGTGGCTGTGAGTGTGAGAGACTGTAATTAATAGGTTGGGAATAATGTAAGAATAGTAAATCGTATAATAATGGTCAATAGGTCAAATGAAAGCTTATGATAAAAGGAATATGGATATACATATAATATAGTTACTTAAGTTATAAAATAAGAATATATATATAGTCTACAAATAATTCCTAGCAGTTACCATTCATTTATAACAGAGGTCTTGAGTGTTGTTAGAGGTATGAGGGCAGTTATCACTTCCCGGTTATCCAAACCTCGGAAGGGTTCTTCTGGAGGTCCCTGAAAAAGAAATCGGGTCAGAGGTGGTCCTAGTGACCCGAGAGTGTGACCACAGTGCTCAAGGGACAACCACTTGAGGTTGGTCACACACAACCTTTTTGTGAGTAATTTTCGTGTTAGCTCCGTACTTGTTGAGACCTTACCGTCGGAGTCGGAAATCTATGGAATAAGGTGAGGTGTGCATTTTTAGGGTGGACATTTTCTAAGCCCAGTGTTCCTTTGTGAGAAGGCAGTATCGCTGTTGATCTGGTTGTCTGAGGGAAACACCTTACTGCTGTCACACTTCTGTACAATCAGCAGTACGACTTCGCTCTCGGACCTTGTGTTTGCTGCTTCTAGTCCTACCATTCTTCAACCGACCTGTCTGGCAGAGTAGAACCTTGAAGACTGATTGTTTCAGCCAGTTTAGCTCGGTTGATTTATCACGATAGGCAAGCCCGACCACTACGTCAAAGTAGCAACAACGGTCGGTGCACATCTGTTCTTGGTCCTACGTTTTAGCTGACTGACTCGGATATAATAGTGT